ACTTTAAAACGAAACATTTTGAATTTCCTCACAAAAGGTCTGGGATTTCAGTTCAGTAACATTCTGACGAGACAAAATTTCAAATGCTTCATCAGAAATCTTAAAAAAGTTCAATATTTCAAAGTAAAACCACAATATTTATCCGTTTGTATAAAATTTAATGAGGATTTTTAGTCTGTAGGTAACTGCTTTTTAAATGTTATACAAAAGAATATATTCTGTGGTTTTACTTTGAGATATTCATACCTTTTAGTGGCCGCTCTTTTCTAAATAGAGATTAATATGTCACAAGAGATAATGGAATCAGGTTTTTGAGTTTCACAACCTTATTCGTATGAAATGATTAACTGACAATGAGTTTTGATCCCAATAACCAAAGATAAACAAACTTACTACCTACAGAGTTTGACATCTAAAAGTCAAGAAAGACATTACATTTTAAGTGTAAATTCCCAACGTTGTGCACTAGAGAAGCTAGTGCCAAGTTTGGAAAGAGAATACTTTCAGCCTAAACGCAAGAAACTTAGTATTATCTTTTGTTTACTTAAAACTTAACTCTGGAAGGTGAGCAATTTCAAGAGCCTCCACAGAAGTTTTCATTTAAATCATAAAAAACTCATTTAATAAATCTTTTGTTTCAATAGGAGCTCAACTTTAATGATAAAAAAAAAACAGAGGAAAATGGACTTAGCCAGAAAGTTTGGCAGACAGGAAACGCTTTCAGCACATGTTTTTCAGTTCCTGAATAGAGCCTTATAGCCAGAAATAAAAAAATGTCAGTCATTTAATGCTACAATATGAGTGTTTTTGAACCTTAGCGTAGCATTGAAAAATAAACACACAATAAATACTTATCTTTTAAATGTGAAATGAATGATAAAATTTTACACAGAAAAGACAAGATGCCCATGACTTCAAAAATAAAGTTCCTGCAATAAAACTGAATTTTCATTTTTCCAAGTTAGGCACTTTGCCAGACAAACAATTTTATTGCTAAGAAATGAATAACAGAAAGATAAAAATGAATGATTTTTACACATATGAAATGATAAAACTTATTATTATAAGCCTTAATAAACCCTTAATCTTAAGACTCATTACATAAGAAAAACTTATTCTCTCATGTCAACAAATTAATTCCAATATGTATGAAGTTTCCTATTATTTTGACTGTAGATATCATGCAAAAAAGATACCTTTCTGTAAAATCTAATAAAGGTGGGTACGTAAACGTATATTATGGCAAAATTGAGAGGAATACTTATCTACGCACACTGTCTTAAAATATAATTGGCAAATTGTGCTTTTGAACTTTTGAGGAGTAGAGTACAGAAAATAAAAAATGTATCTAACTTATCTGATACCAGTTCAAACAGTGATATTTTAAAAGCACCAATCAACGATTATAAAAACAAGTGAATTAGTCTAACTGATAAAAAATAAAAATGTGAGAATTTGCCTTTTTTTAAAGGAAGGACACAGAATCAGAGAGAGAAGATATGGTAGGAGAGAATGAACGCCAACTTACAGAGAAAAGAAGAGTGCTTGCTTTGCAAAAAATTGTACTCTACTGACAAGTATGTACTCTGATCATGAAAATTCAGTTCCACCGTTAAGACATTTCATCAGCTTTAAGAACAAGACATTATTCATAAACTTACTAATTTATCACTGTTCCCATTGTAGTTTTTTACCACATATCATGTTAAGCCCTCTTGTAGCAAATCGACTTATCTATCCTGTCGCAGAACAGGATGTGACTTACAGACCATGAAGAAACTTACATTCAAAGTTCATTTTATAGTCTTATTCATTGTTCTAATAGAATTGAAAATAATACACTCACTGCCAGGCTGATAATGCCTTGAAACTATATCAGACATCCAGAGCAGTTCAGAAAAGAAGGACAATTGCTTAAAAGAAACATAGCATTAAGGCACTTTTATATGGTCCATCAGTGATATCTCTAAAAATTTTAAAAAGGTTGACTATGTCGCTTGAAAATGCATTGGCAGAATTTAAAATTCATAAGCTACTGAATCAGTTCAACTAAAACCTACTTGGCAAGTAGTTTGTTTGAGCTATTAAACTTGGTGGATTAAGTACACATGGAAAAAATTGTCTAGGTGCTCCAATATTGAGCAAAAAACAAATACAAATTGACAAGTACAAAGCCGTCTTTTATTTCGTCTGCAGCGGACACTTCGCGGTCCGCAGGCGTCTGCAATCGTCTTTTATTATTTTGCGGATGACTTGGAGTGGGCGGGGCTTAATTTCGAGGATGCGAAGCGGACACAAGAATTCGCATGGATGCGGACACCTGCAGACGTTTGCGGTCCGCGGCCGTCTGCGAGGTCTGGAGTTCGCAGACCGTAGACCGCGGACGAAACCCTAACCTCTCGACAATATCATCTTCTTCTGTCTTCTTCACGTGCCCATCTATTTTGTCATTTGTCAATCCTATTTAGTCTCTATTTGTATTTTGAATTTTTGACCCATGATCTTCGAACTTTCATATCTGTTGAAACAATTCAGGATTTTATAACTATCCAATAATTACGGTTTTATTCATTTATTGGTTGTCATTTGAAATGTGTTGGCATTTATGCCCAAATTTCTCATCTTATTTCGTTTTCGAAAATTTTTATCGAGCACTCCTAAGAAAGTTTTTATTAGATGCTTCACTATGGCATGGCAAGCTTCACACCCAGTATTATCACTTATCAGAATCAGGTACACATAAACAAAATGCAGTGGCGCCCTCCAGCGGTCCGCGCTGTTAACACCTACCTCGCTGTGATTGGCTCTCTGAAGTATCTACGAAAATCACCGATCGTCCGCGGTCCGCGGTCCGCGAAGAATCCTGTAGACGAAATAAAAGACGGCTCAAGAGGCAAGAGTTCAAAATTTTAAAAGGTTGAACATTTTTTTAAAAATACTCTGAAATCCATTCTTACTTGGTAAGAACGATATATATAGTCGCTTTATAACGCACTCTGGCGTTCTACGACACCCAAACGCCACATATGCCTGTCTTCCCAGAGGTTATCGGGCAACTGACACCGCAACATCTCTTCGTCAACGCCCTGCCGCCAACCCTTTACGGGACGTCCCCGTCGCCTCTTCCCAGGTGGAACCCAATCCAAAACTTGTTTGGGCAACCTCTCCTCCGACATTCTTTGCACATGCCCATACCAGCATAACTGCCTGGACATGACGTCGTGCACGATATCTTTCTCAACCTTCATCACCTGGCGAATTCTCTCATTGCGGACACGGTCCCGTCTCGAAATGCCGGCAGATCGCCGCCAAAAATCCATTTCAGTTGCCCTCAACATTTCTTGCGTTCTTTTCGTCAAAGGCCACACTTCACTACCATAGAGCACGATACTTTTAACGATGGAGTCATATATCCGGTGCTTGTTTGCCTTTGAGATGCTCTGATCCCAGAGCACCCCGTTCAGCATCGCGATGGCTCTCCTGCCCTGGATGATCCTGTCCTTAATTGCTCTATCCATCCTTCCATCCTGATCAAGCCAGACACCGAGATACTTGTACTCATCACACTCTTCGATGCGCCGTCCATCCTCAAGCTCTATGCTTTGCCGTTGATGCGCTGCTCCCACGACCAGCTTCTCTGTCTTGGACACACTAACGTCCATGCCCCATTTCCGATATTCTTCGACCAACTTCCGCGTCATGTAATCTGCATCTTCCTCATCTTGAGCTACAACGATCTGGTCATCGGCAAAGCATAGAGTATAAAGGGTCTGCCCATCAAGGAGTGGAACGCCCATTCCTGCAACCTTCTTTTTCCATTCCTCTAACACGTGCTCTAGGTATACCTTAAATAGTGTTGGTGACAAACAACAGCCTTGTTTTAGCCCTTTTGTGACGAGGAAACCTCCGGACAACTCTCCACGACATTTAATTCTTGCTATAGTCCCGTTATAAAATGATTTAATTGCCCCCACAAGTCCTTTGCTAAAACCCCTTTTTTCCAAGGCTTCCCAAAGTTTCACTAACGGCACGCTGTCATAAGCTTTCTGAAGATCCACAAACACCAAGTGCAGCTCCTGGCTGACCGCCCTTTTCTTCTCGATGACCTGGGTAATGGTGAACAAATGGTCGACGGTAGACCTACCGGCTCTAAAACCAGCCTGTTCTTCGGCTTCCTGGCCGCTCCAAACCTCTTCGACCTTTGCCTTGAGAATTTTACCATAGACCTTGCTCAAGGTTCCTGTGACCGATACACCTCTGTAATTATCGCAATCTTGTTTACTACCTTTCTTATGACTTGGTAAGAAACTTGTTTTAAATTCTAACACAATAAGAAGAAAGACTAATTTTCTCATCAAAATCAGGGCTTATACTCACATTCCCTACATTACAATAACAATTTGTTTGTTCTGTCCTATGACCTGGTCTCCACAGACATCTTTAGGAAATTAATTGCAGCAACTAGTTGAGGAATCATACCATAATTCCAAATTCAAGTGATGGAATGAGGCAAAATCAATGAACGACACAAAATGTGTTCATGCCTCTTGAGAGTCTCTTCTACATTAGTTAATCTCCATGATCAATTGTAAGGAAGTTAAAATTAACTGCACATTCCATCATGCAATTTGGTAAAACTGCAGGATTGCGTATCTGGGTTGCAGATTTCCTGTTATACTTAATTTTTTAAATGAAAAAATACTCAACATTCTTTCTTGGAAATTTCTTTGATTTTTCTTCTCTATGTGGAGAGTGATCTATGAAAATTTCAAGCAGCAGCGCTGGCTTGTTCTTCTTTGAAAAAATAAAACGAGAGTGAAGATTTTGAAACACTCTGAGCGAGATACAAGTTTCGGCATTTTCACCATCAATGTTTGACAAAAAATTCTGCATAATGTGAATATAAATAATTAAAACTACAGGATTTAGGAGCATTCATCTCTATAAAACTTGAAAATGAATTACTCACACAAGAGTGAAATATAATTTTCTAAAACAAATTATTCAGGTAAGTCATGAAACCTTGCCATAAGTTTCTGTCTTTTAGAGCACCATAATAAGGTTTGTTTGTTTTTTCTGTTATAGATTGATCAGTATAAGTAATTTATAGACCCAATGATGTAATTAAAAATGAATCAGCTGAGTAAAACTTAAAAACTTATTGTAACTTGTGCACATCAATAGATGTAAATAAAAACATTCTTACATGACATCACAGAAAAGTGTGGTAACTAAATAACAACTTGAATAACATTTAAAAATTTAATGACTGTCCATAGCAGGCTGTCTAAGAAATAAAAAAGTTTTATAAACTTAGAGCTCGAATCTAGGACAGTTGGTGAGAAGTTTGTCAAACTTCAAAAATTCGACGGCAATTGAAGGGCTTACTTCAAAACGGGCCCTTGCAGATTTTTTCAAAATTGAGTTTTAAATTGCTTTTGAACGCAGAAGGACGGAGAAGGGTTAAAAGCGTCTTCATTTGAAATGCCACAAAGTGGAGTACGATAGATTTAATTCGTATACATGATTAGTTGGCACCGAGCTGCATGTAATACTTTAATGGTTCCTCAAGAATAATACTGAGCCTTCAAAAAATAAGACACTTACAAAGGAATACTGGACAAATTGAGATATAAAAGGATGATTTTACAGCCAAACAGCCGTTGGAATGATACCATGTAATGAGTTCATGCTCGGAGTTAGAGTTTCATTCTGCAAGAAGTTCAATGGGAGATCTACAAGATGACCCTGAAATAGAGAGGAATTACATATGAAGTTAGAAGCAAATATTTCTGAACTAAGCCAAGATTTGAGCTCAAGAGAAACTAGAAATACAGAGAGCAGTCGTCGAACCTGCTAGTGATAGGTCGTCATGCTTGCATTCCAAAACCAACGAATGATCTTGATACTATCTCTACAAACTAAAACTCTAACATATTTCGGAATGCGGACATGTCACTACTTTGGAGGGGGGCCTATAGTTTTCGCGAGGTACCAGCCTCTCTCCTAACTTGGTTTATGTGATGTAAGCAGCAAACCTAAACTTAGCAAAAAGGTTCAAAACCAAACTAATCGATAATTTTTCTCATAATTCTCACTTTTCTCTGCCTCAAATAATATTCTGTAAACACTTCACACAGAAATACTGATTCATTTTTCTTCGCTGTATCGAATAGACGCATGAATTTTGAAAACAAGATTCAAGATACACTTTTTTTACTTTTACCAGCTAAAAACAACTTACTGGTTGGATCTATGTTCATCCTAAATCATATAAATTCAACTTCAAAACATGCTTGGTGAGAAAAATAAAGCCTGTTAACTTAGACTGCTTGTTCATCACCGATAATGGTGAAAAAAGTTTTCTACTTCCGAAGGCTGGTTAAAATTAAAGTCAACTACCTGAGACCTGATAGGACTCACCTGGATATTTTTCAATTTTTCCTTTGCGGCTTCTTTATCTGATCGACAGAGTGGAATTTCTTCTTGGAATCGTTTCAGGGATAAGAAATCAACGGCTAGATCTGTAGGCATACAGTTGAAAACCTGTTCCACAGACAAACCAAGCAAAATAATTGATAAGAGTTAGGAAAAAGGAGGAAGTTTTTTTAAACTATTTTTGAACCAATTTATTAGCAAAAATATTCCTGAAATACGCCTCTCAGCAGTGGTCCCAATTTCTTTTTTTTGCTGTTTCGGCACTGAAGCTACAACAACAAACGAGCACGTGCCCCCAAAATTTTAATCTGATTAACCAGAAAATCTCAGAGAAAAAAGTGTAAATTGGACCGTGTTAAACAGAAAGGAACCAAACCACATCAGCTAGGTACTGCCTTTAATGGGCCTGTTGCATGCAAGAGATACAGCCGTGCAAATAGACTATTTAGAGGTTAAATGACACGAAAATTATGATGGTCACATTAAAAAAGTCTGAAATACACTCCTTACTGCGCAATTTGCGTTATTAGGAACGCGCTTTTTCAAATTTCCCGCGTCTGGGGGCAGTTTTCTAACGGAAACAATTAACGGCAATTCGCGGCTATTTCCGGTCAACTAAAACTGACGACATAGGTAACCTAAAAATCGGAGCTCGTGATATCGTGAAATGAAATGTAGAAGGATTGCGTTGGATTTTTAAAAGTTGATCGATTTGGTTACCGCATAAACGTATATGGACCACTATAAGATATCACGTTGGGTTTGTAAACAAACTGAAGGAAAAAATAACAACAACAACGACTCGGCATCTTCCGGAAATCACCGAGCCCGCCATTTGCTCGTTTCCGGTGATTCGAAAACTGCCCCCAGACGCGGGAAATTTGAAAAAGCGCGTTCCTAACAACGCCAATGGGCCTGTTGCAAACTTTTGCTAGAGCAAAAATAAGAGTTGTTTCTTATAGATAATGCCTCAAAAATCACGATGAGCGCATCGGCAAAGTCTGAAATGCACTCATAACTTCACAATCTGCGTAAGAAATTTGCG